TAATCTCTGTCTTATAAATAAAGATGCACCAGAGGAAGTCTGAGAATAGGTCTTAACTTTCTGTCTAATGAGAAATAGATGAGAACTATATAGAGAGAATTTTAGCTTTTCTAGTTTGGGCATCAATAAAGTAAGAAAGATGTGACAGACTGCTTTTGTTTATGAGGTTAAACTGACAGCCATTTTCAGCTGTGTTTCCATTTRCAAGAGAAGGAACATTCTTTATTCCACTCATGGAAAACAGTTATATAAGAMTGACCTGTATTAGATTAGATTTTCTGCTTTAGTGCAGTGCAAATTCAATATTCACCAGCTACCTGAATTTAATTTGTTATATGAATGGCTCCAACATGCAGAGTGAGAACCTTGATGTGCAGTGTTACCAAATCAGAGCACTCTTTCATCTATCAAGTGTATATCAATTTGATTTTAGCTGGTTACTGTCATCATAAAGCAGTTCTTTCATTTTATGTCAGAATTCCCCAGGCACACCAGACAAATTGGCTCGCACAAAGCTGCTTCATGTGGATTTAACTGGATCACACCTCTATTTTTCCTGTGTGTGAAACATATTCTCATTGAATGAATATCTTTTCCTTGTCTATAGCCCTATTTTATTGTTTTGACTGGCCTAAATCTTCCTCTAAACCAAAGCAGYAGTCCCACAGCTATGCACATCTCTTTTTKTGAGGTTTTMACTCTTAAATGGCTCAAATAATTCRTTTTCTTCCAAAACCCCACTAGCCTATCTGTTGCCATAGACATCTGCTGGCTTTACCCCCACTAATTAAGTAAAATGCACTACTTAACACAACAGGATGTTAATTCATRTGATCATGTTCAGGAAAAAAGCCAGAGAAGACAAAATAAATTTAAGTTGGGCTGTCACAGTCCCTTGTAGATCAGGCTTCCACAGCTGAGGCTGCTTTTGCTTAGAGCTCTAGCTCTCACAGGCTGTGTTAACCTAAATATTATGGTGGGCTGAACACTGCTTGTGTACAATGAATTATTCTTTGTCTTCCTTTCAGATGCTTTCAAGTATGCATAGCTTTTCTCACATTCATGTTAGAAAATGAGTAGTGCTTTCTGTCTTGAGACATCTAAACCTTTTTAAAATTCTGCATTTCACATAAAGCAAAATAATCTTACATACTTCTATTAACCTCAATAAAAAAACTTCTTTTTGCCAGTAAAATTCTCTTAAAACCAAGCATTTCTGATCAAAAGCAAGTGTATTTCTGATTTAAATAAAGCTGCACTAGGATACATTTTTTTAGAGTTATGCATGACCAGCTTTTTTGCTTATCAGAGAGGAATGAAACACTAAGAGCACACAAGCAGGAAGGCAGAAATTAYTTCCACTAAAGCAAAACACAAATAAGGTTAACAGCTGTGTATTCTATTCTGAATTAAGGGTCTTCAGTTCTCGGATGTTGCCTATACAAGGCAAAATAAGTGTGATCATAAAAGAAGCATGCTAATGTAAAGCAGTACATAATTTGGTGGATGTCAAAATTTAACACTATTTATCTAAGACTTCCAGCATTTTGAACAAGACGTTTTTGCCATGAATGTTTTTGATCTAGATGGTACTTGCTCAGTTGCTCTCTGTGAACACTAACTGCCTTTACTTCATGTAGTTCTACTGACAAGTCGACGGGTGCTCTGTTACCCGAATGAGATGCTGCTCTAAGAAGGACACTTYATTGCTATTTCAAGATGCTTTCAGTCCCTGTAGATCTTTTTCCACTACTACATGATATTGATTAACTGCAAAGAGAGCTTTCCATGTAGGTGTTTTCGTATTGTTGTACGGTCCTCAGCAGTCTCTGTGGTTTCTTCAGCCCTGTTAGTTTTTCCAAAAGACTCAGCATAGAAACAGAGGTAAACCTGTGTCCTTCAGCATGACTCAGAGATAATAAGACAAACTTTTCCTCCTGTSTCACTAAGGAAATACTGCAGGGGGGATATTGAACAGTGCTTACAATAGTTCTTACTGTAGCTTGCTTTATTTATGGGTATTCATTCTTGGTCATAATATGCAAAACAAGTGAGAATCAAAAAATTATTCATAAAGTGKCATGGATAAAGTCTAGCAGTGTTTCAATAGTGCTGGGACAAATGTTCTGTACTAACTGGAGAACTAGAGCATATTGTGTTGAGTGAGTATCAGAAGTGATCAAAGTCCCCTGCCCTCAGCAAACTGACGTGTGATGCAAACCTGGAGCATCCCTGAACTTCCTATCCAAGACCAGGCAGACCAGRCAAGGTGAGAGGCACCTCTGCTTGACAGACCTGCCCTATAACCTAGGCCATTGTCAAGGAGATTAGGTCTGCTAGTTTAGGGTCTAAGAACTGATTTAAATAGGCACTGGTAATGAAGAATTGCCATACACATTCTCTTTATTGTTTGCAGAAAAAAAATGCAGATAAATATATGTGTGCTTGCCATTGTTGTGTGTGGAGCACTAAATAAAGCACATGAACACTGATGGCTCATAGATCAGGATGCTATAATTTCTTCACTGAATCAGAGGGATTCCATCACTGTGCAATTTCTCTGCATTTGGTTCATGCAGCAGGAAGTTTTAACTCTGCATTCAGCAAGGCTGGCCATAGAGGGATGTTTCAGCTCCAATGGGCTGAAATACTGTGCTGCTGCATCTAGTTCATGRTAGAATTTTTGCAATGGAAAATATTAAAATAATCATTCACAGCTGTTTTCAGCAATTTGTTTTTTGTGAACTACATACATGTGGTTTGAAATTGTTTCTTTTAGTTATTCCTTGACTCTCCCAAGTTTGTATTTGTTTTCAGAACTAAAATAAAAAATCGGCAATTTGGTATGTGAAATTTTTCCTCAGTGTCCTTCGCTATTAGGTCACAACAAAGACATGAAGATGCACAAAAAAAGTATGCTTGTGCATATTAAAACACTGGATTTGGACTATATGAGAAAATAGAGCYATTGTGAAGCTCTTCTGGACTGACTGCAAAAATTAAAAATACTTCTGCTCTTCTCATTTAGCTGTTCTGAAAAGAATAGCAATGTTTTTTCACTGCTATGGTGATTTTCATCTGTGTGGATCTGAAGTAATGGGTTCCCATTAAAATGAGATATCATCTTATTTCTGTCACAGGGAAAACTGTGGCCCAAGTCAAGTGTTCCCCACTCTCCCAATCTGCCTCTCCAAGCTAGCTCAGATTGCTTGCAAAAGTCATCCTTCCTTAAGGATGTAGGTGTTGAAAAATCAATACTAGATTATGTTCTTTGCTATTAGCCTGAGCAGCTTTTTCTATTTCCCAGAACTTACTAATGTGCTGTTGTATAGAGGTCATCTTTCTGCCGAATTGCTGAATAATCCARCAGGGTGCAGGGCTGAGTTTCCTCTCCACAAGCAGAGAGCCGAAAACAAAATCACTTCTAGGAAAGAGATAAGAAGATTTTGTTCACTTTTGTCACCTGTACATCAAAAAGATAAGCAGATTGGAGAGTATTAAGTGAGGACCAACAAAAGAGATTCACAGAGGAGACTGATGTAAGTAGTAAAATAAATAATATCAAACACATATTTTTGAGGTTTCCTGATTAAAATAAGATAGTGGGCATTTTTTGTTGTTTTCTGATTTGATTTGGTTTGGTTTTCTTTAAATTAAATGGCCACCAGATGAGCTGGAAACAAATTTCTGCAGATGCTGGTCTTTGTTATTTCGTTTTAACTCAGGTCATTTCAACCAAGAATTAAAATCTAGGTGTTACTCACAGACAAAACTCACAGGTTTTGTATCTATCAATACTAGATGACTAGAATTCAAGCAGAGGTGTGGTTTTGTTGCACTTTTTARAGCTGGGCCAATTTCATTTTTCTGTTATACTGAAATAAATATATTCAAAAATTATCTATTTAAATAAATATAAATGTGTATCCACGTAACAGCCTGTAAGTATTTAGAGGGTATATGCCAAGAAGTTATGGGAATTGTTGTAAATTAAATGGTTTTGTTTAAGCTCATCATTTTCCCACATACTTGAGTAAAACCATATTATGAATGGTGAGAGCAGAGTTTCAAGGCTGCAACCTACATACATTGTTTATAGGTACTATTTGCATAGTTGCCAACYTTGTGTGATGGAAATGGCCTGAGGCACTGCTACCTCTTTTGTCCTTGTACTATCATCTTAGGTAGGAAACAGCCAAATAGGCCACTTGTGTAGATTATGTAATTTTGTCCCAGTCATAAATAGGACAAACACAGGAGTCCCTTTTACACTGTTCATGATTATTTTTTCCATGTCATTCTGTCTGGGGAGCTTTTATTGCTCATGGGTGGTTTTTTTTGCTTTTTTTCCAAAATTTTTATGTTTATGCCTCTTATATTTGTATAGAATTACGCTGGAATGAAACTCAGACCTCCAATACAACAGAGAACACTTTATTATGAAAAACTATTTCCTTCCTGTTGATATGTTGCACTTTCTTGGTGTTTTTGCTTATCTTGCAAGAAGGGCTTTAATCCCTGTAGCAGAATCAAACCAATGATGTCCAACACGTCGTGTTGTCAGCTGGATTCCCCAGACTCTTCCTTTGCCTTCCCCTTTGCTTTACCTGCCCTGGTGCATTTGTAGCATGGCTCGATGCACCAGTTGGAGCTCCCATTGGAGCTCTGCAGCCTCTCAGGGCAGGGAACAGTGGGGAGGATGCAGCCTGTGCTGCTGCTGGATGCAGGAAGAACTTCCAGGATGGCACATGGCTCGGCTGCTGCTGCCACCCCATCATCCTGCAGCTCAGGATGTAACCCAGCACGTGTACTGTGCACACTGGGACTAAACAGGCTGCGTTTTGAAGCAGAAATTCTGCATYTCTCTCAAAGTCCAGCCTGCCTGGCCTTGCAGGCACATCTGACTATCTCTTGTGGGTAAATGGTTGTCACCTTAGTGCAGCCATCATGCTCCAGCCTTTCAATAATGTGCCATCATGTGCTTTTTCCTCTCTTTGCAGGGCTACGTAGTTGATGAACATGCAGCCATGCAAGCGCGATGGGAAGAAGCATCTAGAGAAACAATCAAGAAGACAACCAAGCCATGCCCCAACTGCAATATTCCAGTAGAAAAAAACGGTAAATTCATTAGATATCTTGTACTTAAAAGTCTTTTAAAATTGATTTTACARTATRAMTGTATGAATGTGCAGGTGCACATAYGCATAATATTRTTCCAAGAGGGGGAGAGCACRCAGAACTTAAATAATTCCCTGAGYTGCTTKGTTTAAATTATCTTGAAAACACTAATTCTAAATCACTTAGTTCTAAAACCACTAATTAAACCTCACAAAATGTCCAGCTGTTTTGTAGATGGGAAAAATTAGTCATGATGGGAAAAATGAGAATGTAGCATTCATATGACTGGATATCCTGCTAGTAGCCTAGGTTTTCCATTGTCTGGGAAAAATAGGCATTTGTAGGGTAAAACTCATCTCACGATGAGGCAGAACATATGTAGGCCATATGTAGACTAGAAAAACACACCAAAAAGTGGGGTGTRAAGAATTAGTCCTACTGTAGATATCTACAGTATATGGCTGAATTTAGGTGAGATTAATCCCAACCCAGACACATGCCCACAGTAGAAGAGCAAGTTAGAGGAAGCAATGTGAGTCATSACAGTGAATGCTTACCATGTAGGAAGAAAAGTAATCTGCTGGCACTAGAATGGTTAAAATGAAGAGCAGGAATGGTAAATAGGCTATACTTTATAGRTTAATACTGTTCCAAGATTTAATTGTATTCATGTTAATTGATAAAAATATACTAACATGACTGCCTAAATACTACACAAATATTTAGAAGATACTTCTCAGTTTTGTGGCATCTCTTATTCACATGGGACTCTGAAAACRCCTAATAAGGCACTATAAACTGCAAGGAGAGATCACTTCAAGCGRTGACACTGCAGAAATATTACTGGGGAAGAAATAGGATAAAATCCTGAAATCTGGGGTTTGATGRAAGAAAAGAAGGCAGTTGGCAGATGGAAAGTGGGAGATACCTTCAAGCACAAGAGGCAGAAGAAAAGAAAGCTTGAATTCAAGAGTGGGAGGGTGAGACAAGATTTGGCGTATCATAGAGAGCAAGGTGGGTAGCAAAAGAAAGATTACAGAGGGCTAGGTCAAAAAAGAATTTACAGATTTGTAGAASAGACTAGTAACCAGAAGTGTTAATCTGATTAGAAATAGACAAATTATAATGGTGACTGTTTATATTCAACAGTTTGTTCACAGCCAAATTAAAAACCCCTGCTGGCTAGGCTTGAAGGAGTGGTAGRACCTTTACTTTCTCTGAGACTCTGCTAGAAAATCTGATAAATTTGGTACTGGCAAATTACAGGCAGTTGCCATTTGTCACAAACAGGATAACCCTATTTGACCATTCACACAAGTCCYACTAATGTTTAGGGAAGTTGCTTGTAAAAATCCCCACTGTATCAAAGAGGAAATAACGGCAATTATAATTTTTATCTTTGAATAATAAGCAGGAAAAGACCTTTTCTTGCTTATAGCCTGACCAGAACAGTGCCTCATAATGAAAAAGGCCAAAGCCATGGTAGCAGTCTGGAAGCACATTGGAATTGGCCAATTGTGCTGCCATTCMGCACAACTGGAGAGATGGGCAGGGAGGAACCATCTGAAATTCAGCAAAGGCAAAWGCAGGATCCTGCATGGGAGATGAAATAACCCCCTGCACCAGCACAGGCTGGGGCTGACTGCTGGAAAGCAGCTCTGTGGAGAGGGACTGGGGATCCTGGGGGACAAGAAGCCCCCCATGACCCAGCAGGGTGTCCTGGTGGCCAAGAAGGCCAATGGAATCCTGGGGTGCATAGGGAAGAGCAGCCAGCAGGTCAGGGGAGGTGATCCTGCCCCTCTACTCAGCCCTGGTGAGGCACATCTGGAGTGCTGGGTCCAGTTCTGAGCTCCTGAGGACAAGAGAGACAGGGAGCTCCTGGAGYAGCTCCAGAGGAGSRTRACAAAGATGATTAAGGCACTGGAGCTTCTCTCTTAGGAGGAAAGGCTGGGGGAGCTGGGCCTGTTCACCCTGGAGAAGAGACACCGAGAGGGGCCCTCATCAATGTCTGAGAGTGTCTGAAGGGAGGTGCCGAGAGCACGGAGCCAGGCTCTGCTCGGTGCTGCCAAGCCATGGCACAGGAGGCAACGGGCACAGACGGATGCACAGGGAGCTCCACCTGAACATGAGGAGGAACTCCTTTAATGTGTGGGTGACTGATTGCCCAGAGAGGGTGTGGAGTCTCCCTGACTGGAGATATTCCAGAACCATCTGGACACAATCCTTGCAATGTGCTCTGGGATGACCCAGCTTGAGCAGGGAGGTTGGACCAGATGATCCACTGTGGTCCCTTCCAACCTTATCTGTTCCATGAGTCTGTGATTTCAATGAAGGGCTACAAAGATGACAAAAGGACTGTGTAGACAAATATCTGATGGGAGGAGCAAAGAAAACAGAGGCAAATTCTTATCATGGTGCCCACTAAAAAAAAAAAAAAAAAAAAAAAAAAAGACAACAATTTACACAAATTGACACACAGAAATTCCATTTAAACATAAGAAAATACTTTTACCACGTGAGTGGTTGAAGACTAGAAGAGGTTGCCCAGAAAGATTTTCCATTCTAGGATACGTTCAAAGCRCAGCTGGACATAATCCTGAGCACCCTACTTTAGTTGCCTTGCTTTGAGCAGTGGGTTTTGGATTGGATGATCTCTAAAGGGATCYTCCCACCTCAGTGATTCTGTCATTTTTCAAATCAAGGCGTGAAGCTTAAAAAGCATAGTGCTTGCCTTCTTCTTTGATCATGGGTACTGCACACTCCTAGACTGCAATTGTAAACTGAAAGAAGCACTTCAGAACTGCCAAAGWACAGTGCTGTCAAGAGACTGACAAYTGTGTCCAGGGGTCTGCCAGAAGTCCTCATTTGGGAGGAGCTCACTAGCACAGGAGAATAATTCTGCTTTCATTCCCCAAATGTTCTGTGAACACTGTCTTTTACAAGGGACAGTGACAATGCCAATATCTTTTCGGTAACAGCCTGTGTAAACTACAGGCATTGTAGAATATTTCTGGATGCCAATAACTTTCCTGTAATAGCTGAAGTGAAAGAGAGAAACACTTTGCCACATCTCAGTCCCCAGTCTGAGTGAGTTTAAACACACATCCACATCTCTCAGAGGACTGCTGTGCTCACAAAGCTGTAGGTCAGGCTGCTTGAGGCACTCTCCATTCTTGACTGCTGATCTCAGCTGCCATGCGGCAGAGAATAACATGATTTATGTAGCYTAGCAGGGAGGGCACACATTTGACAGAGGGCACCTATTGGGGTTTGAGTCCTGAGCCAGGACTGAGATGAGTTTTACCCGGTGATGGCTTAATACAAACTGTAAGAGAGGACTGGATCTAAACTTTAAATAAACTGTAGCATGGAGGCTGGCCATTTGTATGTTTACATTTAAATAAGATAAAAAATTTTCTGGCACATTGCTTTTCTTACACAAAGATATAAACTGACGAATAGACCTTGCTATCGCAAGTAGTTTTCTCTCTCTCTGTCAGGTGAAGCAGACAGGCCTATTTTAACAAACCARTTCTTGTGTCTCCTGCTGTTTTCGCCTTCTGAGAAACACTCTGGAGTGGCATTTATAAAAAAGGTGGTGTAAGGGTAGCAGCTCATACAGTAGGGAACACACACTCCCTGTACCTCCCATCACCATTTGGAGTCAAASCAAGATGACATTTCAGCATTTCTTCATACTGCATGCTTTTCTCTCAGTTTGAATTATACAAGAGATCTCTTTGTGTGGTAAGCAACATAATTTCCATTTCAAGTATGTTTCTATAATGACCTTTGACAATGTTAATGTTGTGTATATTACAAAATRAACTTTTGATCAAGGTTGTGAGCAGAGAGATTAAAGCTGCTCTCGTGGTATGGAGAAGAAACCCAAATRCAAGAAACATTGATATGATCAAAAGGCTACTTCAGATACTAAAAGGGACAAATCAACTTAAATTGTTGATGTAATTTTTGCATAATCAGCAGTCAGCCACCAAAGTCTGTATGTCCTGATTTACTAACTTTGCAATTCTTGCAGTTGTTGTATCCAAATTTTAAAAAGTATTTTATTTTATTCATCTTCTAGCTCACAGCTGGACTAGCGTAGAGTAAYCTTCAGGAGATACCTCTGTGACTGATTTGAGAGGCCACAGACTCAAAGTCATATCTTTTCCCCTATCCCTAGCATAGTCTATTTTCATTTCCTCCTACCCTTGCAGTCCCTCAAGTGAGAAAAGCACCTTAAAGCCCAGTAAGAGAGGAGTAGCGGCTTTTAGAAAGCCCACGGAAATATTCTTCAGGTTTGTACTTTTATTAAATGATTTACTTAGTTGGTAAATTAACATCTAAGAAAGTTGATTTTGATGCTCTTAATTGTTGATTAACATCTCTAAGTGTTTGCCAAGTACCAAAGCCATTCTGTTGCTATTTTGCAGGTGGCTGCATGCATATGAAATGTCCTCGCCCTCAGTGCAGATTTGAGTGGTGCTGGAACTGTGGCCTGGAGTGGAACAGAACCTGCATGGGAAATCACTGGTTTGACTAGCAGTGCTGAGGCCAGCCCGTGTTGCTGCTAAAGCTTGCTTTCATCAGGGCCAGATTCTGAACCCCTTGCTTAAACAAAATTCCCAATGCTTTTAGGGAGTTCAGAAGTTGGCCTAGTTTGTGGGGTTTTTGCTTTATTGCACATGCAATCATACCAAAATCACATTGAAGTTATGCCAAGGGTTTTTAATCCGCTGAGTAAAAAGAATGATTGTTTTAATGGACAGACTTACTCATCATGGTACAAAGGGGTAAATTACAACTTTTTGAACTTGTGCAGTCTGTCWACATGGAGCGGTTACCATGAGAAACCTTACTTGACATTTATTGTCAGGAATCCATAACTCTTGCAAGAGGGAGCAGCCTGCATATGTGTGTGAGTGTGAGCATTAAGGGAGGTGTAAGATGTTTCCTGCGTTATCTGCCTTTTCAATTTGACCACTWCTTTGCTCATTCAGCACAATTTTCGATTTTGAGGCAGTATTTCTTAACAGCATTTTTGGCAGAGTGAAGACTGTGGCTCTCAAGTGTTTTCTCAGGGTTTCTTCCTAGCAGGCTTTCTGTAGGGTTTTTGCTTTCAAATGAAATTCTCAYGGAAACACCCAGCTTTATGCCATACTTGTGTATTTGTGATACACAACACCAAGCCTGCCTACCTGCTCATTCCAGACTTTGTTACCATGGGAAGGTGAGCTGAGTTTGCAGTTTCAGCCCTATCCTGGTTGCTACAGAGGAGACTGGATCCCATTAAGTGTTGTGCAAGACATACTCACGTGGCTTCATTTTTCTTGTMCTTATGGAATGCTTTGGACATGGCAAAGCAAGGCAGGAGGAGACTTCTCAGGGCTTTTCTCTACCATCATTCTCCTAAATTGAATTAGAATGTGGGTATGATTCTGAAAATATATTAATTGCTGTAAAAGTATGGGGCAGAGGGACAGGTTTGTTTTATGATGTTAACACAGTAAGTAAAGTTTAATAGCACTTCCAAGCCTGAACAATTATACTGTTTGTGATCTTTACATTGACGTCTTTCTGTGAAATGAAATGGATAATGTCCACATTCAACACAGCATGTAAGGATTTGCACAGTTTAGTTTTGGAGGAAAAAAGCGCACAATAAATAAAGTGTCAAATTTTTAAGCTTTATTTCTTTTTTTCRTTTGAATACAAAGTGAGTACAAATATGTTGGGTGGGTCTTGCATTGCCTTGACTGATTCAAACTCCCAGCTGAGAGGCTAGCCCTTTGATCAAGACATAATGTTAGCACAAAATAATTCCACAACCATGRTCTTCTTTTATYAAGTTTGAACTAATATTTTGTATGGCATGAATGTACAGTCCTGAAAATATGGGTGTGCCTCATATCAGTGCAGAGCATGAAGCTTGAGGCATAAAAAAAATCCCAGGCTCACCAAAAAAAACATCCAGTTGCTAAAAGCAGTGAAGTATTCATCTGTCGAAACTGGAAGTGACATTAGAAGTGTGAGGAAATGAATGAAGGCATGAGGTACCAAAAATGAGAGAGTGAACCGGTAGAATTTAAAAATTAGAAACAAAGGTGCTAGAAGACAATGGACATTTCCTAAATGTAATTTTCCTGTTTGGCACTGCTGAACTCAAATTTATGCAGAAGTAGCTACATTGAAGTGTAAGCTTGCAATCAAATGCCGCAGTGTAGCTCATTTAAGTACATTGTCTTAACRGGGATATTTTATTGTGAGCTCTGATTATCTCATGATTTGATTTCCTGTATCTGGGTCTATTTTATAATTCATRTGGCTTGCTTCCAACAGGCTAGGGAAAAAGTAACAATGCTTCATTTTACTTTGATCATGCATTACATGGGAGTTCATCACTGTATTTCATATTCAAAAACATTCAGAATAAAAGAAGTCTGAATCTTTCCTAATTTTTTAAGTGTCTTTCTCATAAAGAAATAAGTTATTCGCTATCAGGCAGTTTCACTGAGTTAGAGCCTAACCTAACACGTTAATGTTTTAATTGTTAGGTAGAAATGTGTGATTTACCCCTCCTGGATCAAGGTCAGTTAAAGTGAATGGACTACAGACTTTCTCTTGTGTTTCCTTCTGGCCTGGGAAGGCCATGACAGTTGTGAGTCACAAGGCTGGAATAGAAACACCTCTTTCTTGGAAGAACTCAGAGAAGGGCATTATGAGTGTTTGTCTAAAGCATAAGCAAGGGCAGGAAAGGAGAATAAAGAAAGTAGTTCCAGCATTGACTCAAGGCTGCTCCACACAGTCCAGATTTCACACTCTGCCAAAAGGAGATGTGTTTTCTGTGGAATTCAACAGAACATGTTGGATCTTCTCTGTGTTAGTACTGTATGTCTCCATACATACATGCACAAACTTTGAGATGCATCTCATTTGTCTCTACTCTAAGATTCTCATAGTTTCCACAATTTGAGAGGCATGAAAAATCAGGTTTAATGTTCTGCTCACAGTGTAGGAGTGCTGGAATTCCTATAGAGATGTGTAAATTGGACCTAAAATGTCATGCACTGGTAACTTTCATTTGCATGGAAAGTGCCGTTTAAAAAGAAAGAAAAAACTTTAAAAAAAAAAATCTAACTTATTTTGCAATTTGAAATGAAACAGAACAGAACAAACCAGGTTTTCAGTGTCTATTCAGACTACTCCTCTTGTTTCAGCTCTGTCAGAGTGAAATTCACCTCACTCAACTTTAGCTCCTTGGTTGGTTCCGTAGTTTCAGAGAYCTGTTGTGCACGTGTATGGTGGAGCCTGCTGAGTTTTTCTGCTCATGGCTGGAGGTGTGATGGCAACATCCCCTCCAGAGACTGGATTCAGCTCCTAAGAGGATGCACAGGAACTGTTCTGCACACTCTGGGCTCAGCTGCTGCATGGGGAGGGGAGCTTTCATTTTCTAAAAGTTTGAACACTGGCATTGCTTGCTAGCATTCATGGAGCCAGCCTTGGCAAACTCTTCCTCTGGGCTGGCAAAGCACATCTCTGGAAGTGGTCCTGGGCARCTATGGAGGGTTAATGAAGAGAAACAGGACTCAAACACGTAGGAAAGGAAGGAAACAAACCTGAGGGCTTAAATAGATGGAAAATTATTAAGAGCTTGTGGATTTATTTTCTCTMCAAGCAATTTACTCTGGAAACAATGACATTTAACTGTAGGTTTTGAGAAGGTGATTTATTGTGGTGCTATAAAACAAAAAAAAAAAAGAAGTCTCTATTTTTTCACATCAAGGTGAATTCTCTCTACTTTGAATTTTCCTCATCTTTCACATTAAATCAATTACAGGCTTGYTCTTGGTTCTGCAATGTGTTAAATGGATTAAGTACAGGATGTATGCTTAAATATTCAATAATAATTACCATTATAATAAACCAGCTCTATAACAACAATGAAAATCTCYAATATTTAATTTCAGCTGGAAATGTACTTCTGTAGTGTGGAATATCCMTTTGGCCAGTCCAGGTCAGCTGTYTTGGCCWTGCTCCCTCCCAGCTTCTTGTGTACCTCCTCACTAGCAGAACATGGAAAACTGTAAMGTCCTTGTYTTAAGCACTATTTAGCMACAACTGAAACATYAGTGTGTTGTTATCCACATTATTCCACTATAATACAAACACAAGCACTGTACCAGCCACCAGGAAAAAAATTATCCCATTATCCCAGCTGAAAACAGGACATGTGGTGATGGCTGATGGAGAGAAACCCTACACAGAGAGAGAGAGCTGCAGCAGCTCTTATCAGCTAGCTTTGGTTTCCAGGCAGCAAAATTCTCACGCTTCCTTCAGTTCCTTACGAAGCAACAGAAAAGCCTGAAGAAGACAATACTGGATGAAAGTTGCCAGGAGAGGAAACCTCCTGGCCCGTGGTTCCTTGTGACCCTTCAATAGCTTCACCATGATGTATCTGACAGCAAAGCATTAACAGTGAGTCAACAAGACAAATRTACTACTTTACATTTTATCTGACTTAAWTACAGATTTTAAARACATATTTCTATCCCTAATTAGCAAATTTAGAAAAGCAYCTCTCTCTTTTCCCAAACATGTTTGTCTACTGGCTCTATTATGTTTATTTGGTCGTGTGTTTTCCCATGTGGTTCCCCTTGTGTATCACCTACTGATTTCCAGCTGTGTGTCCCATCTTCAGACTGTTYAATGCTCAAAAAGCAGCTTGATTGTCTGGGAACTACTGGAATACCTGCACTGAGTAATCTCTTCTCGTATTCTGGGTAAGTATGTAGAGGCCAGAAAAAATATCAGTGGCTTTAAGGAAGCAGAAAGGTAGGCAAGTTGAGCTTCTCATTTAATCATAAGGAGAATCATATTTAATGTAGTGCTTTGTCTATCTGTAAGAATTTTTTTTTTAAGAAATCCGGCCATATGCCATTTCAATTTTCTTCATTATTATTAATAGTGCTTTTTTTCTTTGCTTTTAATTTGTTTTTCTTGTCTCTGTCTTCATTTTTCTGAATAATGGAGTAATGCTTCYATGCCAGTAGATAAAATATGCAGCAAGATATCACCTGTTACTTTACTTTTTGGCTTTTATCCCCAGAAAGCTTGAGGAATTCACATAATCCATGCAGGCAGGGAAGTGCCATTATCTGTATACCACAGGCAGGGAATTCAGTCCGGAGAGTACAGCCAGACTACACGGAGGCAACAGCTCAAATGCACATCATCCCTTTCCTCAAAACTGGGAAAATCTTGCTGCCCAAATTGGAGACCACCTGTGTGTTGGGATGGTGATGACACAGGCTTAGGGAAGCAGTAATCAAGTTTGAAGTTTAAGGTCCAGAGGACACCAGTGTGATATTAGAGGCACAAAGTAATTTTTTTTAAAGGTAAGATTTTTCAGTGGCCTAAAGAACGGTGATCTAACATGACATCCTTGGCAAACACTGGGAATTTTACTGCTGGCTTCACTGGGAAAGATGAATTTAGATTTTGACACCACTTACTTCAGCATTTTAGCAGTGCATAGGATATCTCTGGGAGAACTTGATGTCCAGTTTCCTTTTTGTCTCTTTGTTAGTTAAACATTTMATCTAGAAAACACATTCATGCCCACGTCAGATTCTCTCCACCTCATTTTGGTCCAAACTAAAATCCATCAAGCAATGATGTCACACTGGTTTTAAAAACCCTTGGTTAAGTATATCTGAAGCAACAGACTGTACATGCATTCTTACTTGGTACATGATGCATAGTTTGCCTACAAACAGTAATCCTGACAGCCTGCCAACTTCCACTGCTTACCAGGCCAAAAACTGGCTGAATGATGGCCTTAAGTAATGCTCAAAAGGTAATGCTAAAATGGAAAGCAGTAATAAATACAATGAATTAGTATTCAGACCCTTCTTTTGTTGGGGCCAATATAATGTTTTTCTTGAAATGGATGCTAAATGCTCCTGAATAGGTTCAGCCAACTGAGTTTGTTTGTGCCTGGAAGCTAAACCTGGAAAGCTCTGCATTCAGCTTTTCCAAAGTAAAGAGATCACAATATGGTCAAAGGGCTTGAGGTTTTTTTTTTTTTTAATAGCTAGAGTCCATGTGTTCCACAGCTGATGGAGTTAAAAATCAGAAAAAACACAAACTACCTCAATAAGCTACACTGACATTTTTCAAGTACTCAGTGAAACAACAAATGTCAGGTTTGCTTTTTCTTTTTTTAATCTGCTTCTCAAAGGCTACAATGACTGTGATATTTACATTAAATTCAGTTAATGAAGCTGAAATCAGTTTTGATTCAAGCTTCTAAGTTTTTAGTGGTGATGTAACTGAGTCCAACATTTTACCAAAATATTACTCAGGCTTTGCTTAGCAAATATTAAGGTGCTAATTATCTGGGTTGCAGTCACTCAGATCCTTACTTTATTTCAAAAGTACAGTGATAAAGGCTATTCCTATTGCCTCATTCTGTTGGATTTGACAGAAAGCAAACATAGGCTGCAAACCAGGGCTAGCAATAAGCTCCTCCATGGTCGAGTATCTTCTCCTGAAGTAGTGACCTCTTCTCAGTGACATTTACTGTGCACAAATTAAAAACAATCAGTGGCATTTCATTTTTAGCCCTCTTTATTGTGTGAGCTCCAGGGTAGAGCTGAATAAATAAAAATATAAAGGCAAGTCTGCACAACAGAAAGCCTACTTTTCTAGCTGTTCCAGTACAGCTATGCCACACACCAGCTTGGTAGACCATTGCATTATACAAAATAGCTGTATATCAGCAAATTCACGTGTTTACTTATGCCATTACATTGGAGTACTTCTCAAGGCTTTTGCCAGTCTAGTATACTGTAAAGCCCCTTCCCTCCTCAGAAAGGGCTCATTCCAAAAGACCTCTGTGATGAGTGGTGGCTGAGGCAGCCCAACAACACATCATCTGGGGCACAGATTGCTGTTATTGTAAATAACAGCATCTGGGGCACAGATTGCTTGATATTTGTAAATGCTCAGCTCCCACATGAGAACCTAAAAAGGCCCGGTAGTCAAAGGTCATCATCACATGCACTTTAAAAAAAATACCTTCTTTGAGTGTCTAAGCAAAGTTAATGCACATACATAAAAGAGAAGAGTTGAAACTTTTTCTCCGATTCTGAATGCTGTGCAGTGTGGAAAAACCTGGCCCTGAGAAACTTAAATCAATACATTTGCTTCTTCAAAAAACAATGAAGTCCATGATCCAGACCCCTTTGTAATGACTGCACTCAGAGTCACTTTTCTGTTATGCTTCCAGCAAACAGTATAAATGCCAGAGTATTTTGCTAGTTGTGTTTATTTAGATATTTGTATTAGATTGTAGAAGGCCTTATMAGAGCTTTAGCAAGTCTCAGATAAATTATGTGTACTTATTATTAGGTAGCACTGCTTGGCCCAAAGAAATAATTGTTTTTACTGCCTTCCTTTCACAATGGAAGAGAGAACATTTTTCACAAGTGATTAAGCCTTAACAAGTAAGATGATCTTATGAGGKTCTTTCATGTATGTTCCTACAGCATTGTGTTCACCTACTCACAAATGAAAAATCCATCTTTGAGAACTATTCAATGAATGATTTGATTGCTTGAGAGAAGAAAGAGTGATCCA